CCCCCAGTGACACACTTCCTCCAAAAAGCTACTCCAACAAGGCCACACCTCCTAATAGTGCCACTCCCTATGAGGCTATGAGGGACATTTCCATTCAAACCACCACACCTTCTTCCTGTCTGAATGGCAGGCAGTTGGACCTAGAAGGTGCTTGCAGGCTGTCTTTCCCCTCAGTGTTGGAGGTGGACCCCAGGTCCTTATATTGCCAGGCAAGTGTCTCACTACTGAGCCATGTTCCCCAACCCCTGCAAGTCCTAACCATCTTTAAAGAGGCAGTGAGCCTGGAGAGTGGGTGCAGAGACCCAGGGTTCACCTTGTGAGGGTCAAATCCCAGTCCAGCCTCCTACCTTTGTGACCCTGCTGGAGAAACCATTTCACTCTAGGACACTTCAGTTCCTCCTTCAGCAAAATGAGCATCACAGTGACGTCACTTCCAGGATGATGTTGGGATGACTTTCATGCAGAGCTCTCTGAGGATGCAATGGTTTCCCCACCCACTCTGTGTGTGTTGTGTGTGCACATATGTGTGTACATATGTATGGAGGCCAGAGGTTGACATTGTATCGTCCTTTATCACTCTGCTTTATTTCTTGAGACATGGTCTCTCACTGAATCTGGAGCTCACTGATTTGACTGGCTGAGCAGCAAGCCCCAGGGACCCTCCTGTCTCTTTATCCCCAGTGCTGGGACTATCCATGCATGTCACCATGCCCAGCTTTTACATAGGTGCTGGGGATCCAAACTCATGTCATCATGGTTGGAGTAGCAAGAACTTGACTGACTGAGCCGTCTTCCAGGCTCATGGATGCAGTTGTTTCTGCCGGATCCCCACCCTTCCTGCTGCAGGGATGAAGACCTAGGTTTGTGATGGGGGTGATGCCCAGGGTACCCCCATCTCTAGCCTATACCTCCTGGGGTGCCTTGGGTAGTGCAAGGTGTCTGAGCCCCTGGGCAGCACATCCTCAGCCTTCTTGAGGGAAAGAAGACCCCATGGAGGAAAAGGAGTGGGCAGGAAGTCCCCAGGGCTCCATGCCACCAGTACCACCAGCTCCAGAGAAAACATACCATTACTGGAAGCCCAGATAGGCAGAGGCGGTGGAAGTGGCCATGTCATAGGAAACCACACGAGGCCAGCCAAACCATGTGGGGCTGGCTCACTGGGATGTTTACGGACATGCTGGCCCTGAGGTCGCCCAGCTGCTGGGCTGGGATCCCCTGGGTACCCGTAGGGCCCCAAGTGCCAGCTTGGCAGGAACCATCCGAAGCCACAGCTGAGTCCTGTTTACCTCATGGCCAGCCAAGTGAGTGGACAGGGGGACAGCAATCTTTCACACCATCCCTGAGCATCCTGCTGCAATGGTTGAGCAGGGGCTGGGCCCTTTCTAAGCACCCCTGGGGAAGTGACATTCCCTCAGGAGACACACACACAGAGGACACTCTGATTCTGGTTATGCCTCTACCGACTAACTCTGTAAGGTTAATGCAACTTTTCAGTGCCTCAGTTTCCTCATCTCTGGAGTGGGGACCGTGGCAACAGTACATACAATTTATGGGGATGTTGACATAATGAAATGATTTAATATTTAAAGTTGCTCAGAACCACCCGTGGTTCATACCAAATACCCTAAGTCTTTGCTGTAGAGATAGGACGTCGGTATTCAGACCTGAAATTATGGAGGAGCTGAAGTATGAGTGTCAGTCACACTTAGATCCTGTCTGGGGACTGAGGGGTGTGCTTTAAGGACCCTTCCCCAGTCACAACAGCAGTTCACTGGGGTACCATTTGCCTCGTCAGTCTTTGTAGGAACAGGAAAGGACTGGCCTCCCTGGGTCCACTCATTGCTCTTGGGGGGCCTTGTCTGGATCAGCCCACATCCATGTTTTCCGTCCGGCTGTGGAACGAGCAGATAGGCACATGGCACTTCTGAGCCCTGAGCATGCTGTAGGCCCAGAGCCTTCTAGTCAGGGGCTTCCCTCAACCTCCATACCTGAGGAGAGGTCAGTTGTTACTTGCTGTGGTAGATTGAATGTAATTGGCCCCTATAAGCTCATGAGGAGTGGCACTATTAGGAGGTGTGGCTTTGTTGGAGTAGGTGTGACCTTGCTGAAGAAGTTGTGTCACTGTGGGGGTGGGCTTTGAGGTCTCTCTTGCTCAAGCTTCGCTCAGTGTGATATTCAGTCCTTTCCTGTTGCCTTCTGATCAAGATGTAGCCAGCACCATGTCTGCCTGCACGCCGCCATGCTCCTGCCATGATGATAACAGACTAAACCTCTGAAACTGTAAGCCACCACCTCAACTGAATGTTTTCCTTTGTAAGAGTTGCCGTGGTCATGGTGTCTCTTCACAGCAGTGGAAACCCTAAGACACTGCATAAGGCAATCAGGAGAGGGCACAC